AAAAAAAATAACAATTATCCATTCACGTTGCTATCCATCCTAATTAACTTTGATTTTGAAAAAATAATAAATAATAGATTACAATTTAAGGCAAAATCTTTCGACCCGATAACTTGGGCCTCGCTTATTCAAATTAACTTTTTTCTTGAGCCTAATTTACATGATTAAAAACGACATATCCAACGAAACTCATATTGATATACTTTCAGTCGCTTTAACAATATCTAAATAAATGTAGCTCAAAATCGAAGTTAATACATGTATCACTTTAATCTCTCAACTTTCAAAATAATAAAATATAATATATAGAACAAATAAATTTTTTATTCTAAAATATTCAGGGTGTTACACAAACTTTTTGTCAATATCTTGTTTTCCTTTTTTTTCCACCTCCTCCAACACCTCACTAGTGTCAACATCAACTACCGAAATATCATGCCTTACTTTGTCGTCCCATGGCAATTCCAAAACTTTAACTACGGGCATACACCACATCTCAGCAAGCCTCTTCTCAACAAGCAACCTAACTACATTCATAAAGTTTGCATCTTTCACCAGCTAGAACGATGCATCGCTCAATCTCTTCTTTTCAATCTTATAAACATACTTCATTTTCTCAAAATAGCCTAGTATTTTCATAGCATTGTCCAAGAAAAATCTATTAAACCAATCGGGTGCACGTAGTCTAGATATGATATCTATCAGCCCAAGAATAACTAACCAAGAGGGGGGTGAATTAGTTATTAAAACTTTTTCGAAGAATTAATCTAAATTCAAGCAAGTAAAGACTAAATAGGCTAATTCAAATAATAAGCACAAATATAAAAGCGATAAGTAAAATGGATAGAGAGTGCAAACGATATGTTATGGAGGTTCGATCCAATGCAATGATCTACGTCCCCCGTTACTAAACTCTCCGTCACGAGTAATGTCAATTTTACTATAATGGTAACTTACAATAAGGAGTACCGATCATTTACAATGTTGAGATTTCAGGGACCTCAACACGACCCACAATATTGAGTTTTACGGGACCTCAATATGACCCACACGGTAACTTACAACAAGGCACACCAATCCTTTACAATGTTGATCTTTAAGTGATTTCAACACGAGCCACAATTCAAATGAATTTTACAATTGAAATCTTCTCTTCTTAATGAATGATAAATTCAAAGTTGTGAACAAGAAGAGAAGAAGGCAAACACTTCAATAGATAGCAAATGATAAAGCTCGAGTGTTATGTTGGAAAACTTTGATGAATGAATG